GCGGACTTGACCTCGGCCTCTCTAGGCCGAGGGGGAAAAAAAAGAAAGAAAAAAAAAGAAAAATGGGGCCGTCCCATAGGACCCATGCCTGGGTCCTATGGGACAGCCCAGGTCCTAAACGCATATAAATATGCGTTTAGGACCTAAAGTTGGGCGTGCAGAAAGGCACGCCAACCTGCAGGCGGATGGCTTGCCTGCCTGCACACCATTCTGCAATGGCGTGCAGGCGCGCACGCCAATCTGCAGCTGGCGTGCGCGTGGGGGGTTGGCTTGCGCTTATCAACCCCCAGCATTGATACACTCATGAGGTTTGCATTTCTATTGTTATTTTTTCTTCTTCTGATTTTTTCTTGTTTTTGCATTCATCGTGACCAGGAACTGACATATACGAGGACGGCCCAACCTCACGACCAGCACATCGATGAGCTGATTGCCAAGCCAACCATGTCATGCCGCAAAACAGTTGAGGAGGTTGCTGGCTCTCCTCCGACACCCACTTGGCCATTGTGGTGGCGGGAGCGCACCTGGGCCAAAGCTTTGGTCGGCTTGTTTGGGGCATGCGGAATGCTTGCGGGGCTGATGCGGAAAGCACGCGGAGCTGACGCTACACAAGCAGGCTGAGGAAAGCTGCGGTGCAGTAGTGGAAAGTCTAGCTTTCCAAGGCGCGGGAAAGCGGAGAAAGGTAGACCAAATGCACAAGGTTCTGAAAAGCTTACTGCGGGGAATTCGGGCATCGGCGGACGCCGGGGGTCACGGCCGACTGCGGAACGGGGGTTCAGTGTATACTGCGGAGAGGCTACAAAGAGCGGGGAGCACCGAGGGGCAGAAGCGGGGTTCGGAGCGGACCAGAGGCGGAAGCGGCGGTGGGAGACCTGCTTAGGAGCGGCCGGAGGAGTACTTGGACCGACAGGCGTTGGAGGGGTGACATGCGGAGTCCGAGGGGGTGACAGCGGATGACATCGCGGGAAGTAGGAAGGGACTGGAGTGTGGGATACCTAGGAGGAGAGGAGTTCGAGGCAGAAGAGGGGAGAGAGGGGGGGGACATATGACTCAGAACATATCGGAAAAACAGAGTGACTTAGGAGTGAATCGTGTATTAGCCTAAAGAATTGTTAGAGATAGATTAGAGTTAGAGTATTACCTACAAAAGATCAATAAAAGGGAACTAGTTTACCTACCTACAAGACCATCAAGCAAGTTACCCCGGACAACAAAACCGGAGTAGGACGCGTTGCGGAGCGGAGAAGTGCAAGAAATCTCCTAGGGCGCGCCTTACTTTCCACACCATACGGCTCAGCCAGATGGCCCATCCAATCATCCTGAAACACCATCCGTGTGCGGGCCATCAACGGCACCCCATCTTCAGGTCAACCAGCAGCAACAACCCCACCGGATGCACCTGGTTGTGGAGGCCTCTAGTGGGTCAATCAATTTTTTTTGCTTTTTGCTTTTATTTTTTATTTTATTTTAACTTTTTTATTTCATAATCACTATGAACCAGATCTCAGCTACCCTCCCCACTTGATTTTGTATTTTTAAAAAAATTAGGGACTCGGAAAAACGACTCCCGTTTTTTTGCCAATGACTCCCAACGACCGTCAGTGGACGTCCGTTGGGAGTCATCTTATAAAGTGTGGGCGGATTCTGGGAGTTGTCCGCCCAATTTTATTTTCATTTTTTTTTTTTTTTGGAGTCGACTCCCCAAATCACCCCTCATGTATGAGGGGGTTTGGGAGTCGCTCCCACTTGACCGGAAGGAACCCCTTCCGGTCAGTGAGGAAGCTCAACCTCATCAACCAGAAGGGATTCCTTCCAGTCAATGAGGAAGATATCCCTCATCGACCGGAAGGGATCCCTTCCGGTTGATGAGGAAGATTGAGCTCATCCACCGGGAGGAATTCCTTCTGGTTGATGAGGTTTAGCTTCCTCATTGACCAAAGGAGAGTCCTTCCAGTCAATGAGGAAGCTATACCTCATCAACTGGAAGGAATCCCTTCCGGTTGATGAGGTTTAGCCTCCTCCCCAACTGGAAGGAATGCCTTCCGATCGATGAGGAAGCTATACCTCATTGACAGGATGGAATCCCTTCCAGTCGATGAGGTTGGGGGGTTCGCATTGAGGGCTTCATCAACCGGAAGGACTCTCCTCCGGTTGATGAGGAAGCTAAACCTCATTAACCGGAAGGGATCCCTTCCAGTCAATGAGGTTTAGCTTCCTCACTGACCGGAAGGGGTTCCTTCCGGTCAAGTGGGAGGGAGCGACTCCCAAACCTCCTCATACATGAGGGATGGTTTGGGGAGTCAACTCCCAAAAAAAATAAAATAAAAAATTGAAATTGAAATTGGGCGGACAACTCCCAGAATTGGCCCACACTTTAGAAGACAACTCCCAACAGACGTCTGCTGACGGTCGTTGGGAGTTGTTGGCAAAAAAACAGGAGTCGTTTTTCCAAGTCCCAAAAATTATTAAAGAAAATAAAAAAGTTGAGTGATGCTTTTAATTTTTTGAAATGTAATGAGTTTTGCTTTTTGCTTTTTTTGTTTCATATTCCTTCTTATCATCCCTCATTCCACCACTGCACAAAAAAATTGGAAGTTTATCATTGTTAGTTTTTTATAAATTAAGATATACATGTGCCATAAACAACTGGGAAGGCACTGTACATACATATAAACAACATGGCCACCTTGTGGTCACACTATGCAATAAATATTGAATATGTAAACAAACTAAGGCCAAATTGTGGTTTAAATTATGCAATAAGCATTTTTTATGCAAATAGAATTTAAATCCCAAATACTTTTGACTGAGTGGAGCTAGCCTAGTGATTTCAGTGAGTGACTATGGGTTGAGTGACCTATAG